AAAATAATAAAATAATAAAATAATAAAATAATAAAATAATAAACTAATAATATAATAATATAATAATATAATAATATAAAATAAAACAACATTAATAATATAATATAACATAACATTAATAATGTAAATAATAGAATAGAATATTTATTATATATACATATATATATATATAATTACTTACTTGTGAACACACACAGATACCAAGTCTCAGTATCTGTTTTATTGAGGAAAATGCCCCAAAATATTTTTAAAAGGGTCTGAGAATTCTGTTACTGCCCACTCTGGTGTCCTCATAAAATGACTCCTTGGCATCACTTAACAGGCCGACTTCCTGAGTGTCTTCTTTTTTTTAATCAACTTCATTTGGAATCAATTGGTAGTAAATTAGAGATCCAAATTACAGGAAGCAGAAGATTAACCAGACTGGGGGCCAAAGTTGACTCAACACAAGATCTTCTATTTTGGCATCTTAGTTGTTGTTGCTGTGTTTTTCACTTGAAAGCAGCAGGAGAGCTGTATGACATTTGGTTCAAGACTGTGCTTACAGGAAAGGAAGACTTATCTGATACCTACATGTCAAGTGGGGTGGGGAGATAGGCACAGAGGATGTCTCCTCATACAGACATAGGCCAGATTCAAATCTCCAAGAAACGCTCTTACTTTCAAAAACATGGAAGATCTTGATTGGCCATTAGGCTCTAAGTATACAGTGAATAATACAGCTGTTCTATCCATCTATCTACGTTCAAACCTAAATTTCATGGAATTCAAAGAGGCTTCAGCTTTTTGCTGCGATATTTCCCGTGAATTTTAATTCACTGCATGTCTCTTGGGGTGGACCACTCTAAAAAGAGACTCTGTGATGTAAATTGCCTACTTTGCTGGGAATATAGCCCACTGATGTCAAGTTAAACTTATTTCCAAGTAGCCATACTTAGAACTGAGCTGGAAGAGGCTGAGAGAGGAACCACAAAATGAGAAGAAATTTAAAAACACATACAGAGATCGAGAGTTGATCTAAACTGCAGACACACAAAGAGGCAAGACCTAGGAAGCAGGAATGTTGGCGGAGACTTGAGTAATGGTTGCAGCAAATTCTGCATGACTCTACATGGCGGTATAGCAACAAAGTAAGCCATGATAGCTGCATGCAAGGAGGCAAGACACTGCAAAAGGAGGTGGTTTTGATACACCCTTGTGTGAAGACGCATTTAGAACATTGTGATCAATTCTCTAATTTCCCAGCCACACTTTATATGGACCAAAACATGAGCATTGGTCCCTTATCCAAGCCTTGATGATTTATAGAATCTAATTTTATGTGTATTTTTGTAGGGGAGTCTAAAGGAGTTGTTGCCTTATGGTAATATCTTATGGTAAGTAATATATCATATAATTAGATATCACTGTTTCCTATTTTATAAAAAAGGCCACACCAGAACTTGGGATGTTTGATTTCATTCTTTGGAAGGTCAACATAGAGGGGAGGTTTTGGCTGCTGGATGCAGCACCCCAGCTAATCTTTTTATGTGAGAAAAAACTCTGTACACTGTAGAAGTTTTGTATAATCAGGCCCTGTGCTCCTACAATCTTGGAACCATCAGTCCAATACAATCACTTATACCCAGATTTGCTCCATCCTCTAAAGGAGAGGGAGCAGATTACCATTTTAATGCCAGAAGACAGTTTTCTTCATGCTTATAGGAGGCAAGGAAAGGTGCACACTTAAAAAAAAATCTTTAGAACAACTTTAGAAACATCCTAAACTCCTACTTCACGATACAGTACATTTATAGATTATTTTTCTCTCAGAAAAGTAAACTTATATCAAAATATTCTCTTTAAGTCATCAGTAAGAGGCAGGTCTCAATCAAGACACATTCATATATAATACAATGTACTCAATAAAATATATTCTGCATGCACTATGCTTATTTTTGTGATAATAAAAAGCTCAGAGGAATTCTTCATTTAAAAACTAAAAACTGCTAGGGAAATTAGGTAATTCAGTTATGGATACAATCAATACGTTTTTTTTTTCTTCCAGGGGATTGTTCTTGGCATACGATTCAGAATGCTTACCTCCATTCCACCTTTGGCAATCTGCAAATTATTGGCACTACAGTATTGTCACAATAAAAAATGTGCTACTATTAAACAATTCAAAAAACACAAACACGTCCAATAAAAGGCAGAACCTATTGTGAGATTCCAAATATAGTATGCAAATTAGAAGGCTTTCCCTAGCAACATAGGCATGACTCTTGAAATTATGACTTCTTTAAAATTGGTAAATATGTTTTTCATCTTAATGGAAGAAGAGAAACGTCTGAGAGTTATAAACTGGTACAGGGATAGGCAACCTGTGGCACTCCAGAACGTGCCAAACTACAACTCAAAACATCCCTAAGCTATATAGCAAATCATGACAGATGCCAGGAATTGTAATTCAGCAACTGGAGCAGTATGATTTGGCTATTCCTTAATTGGTTATTAAGATTTATTCTGACACAATATGTATCAGTTTTTTCACTTGGAGCTGGATGCTATCCCAGGTATGTAGGAAGGAATGTTGGATGCTAACTTGATGAGTCAAGTAGTCTTTACAGATATTAAGAACAATTGTATGCAAAATTAACTGCAAATTGTTACTGCTGCCACACCTGAAGATAGGCAAGGGCTATCAATCATTTCAAAATTGAAGCACATATGAAGCACATATATCATGTTATCAAGGTGCACATGTTATTTTGATACTATTGTGGTTTGTTAGAGATGCAGATGATCACAATCTGCAATGAAGCCTGAAGACAACTACATTTTTCCCCAATAAAAAAATGGAAAAGCAAGTAAGTAAAGAAATAAAATCAGCTCACTGGTACTGTGTTTAGACTTAGAGGTCATTTACTGTATACGGACAATTACTTCTGCTTCTGTGTTTGTCTCTGTACTTCAGTCTGCCAGGCTTTTTGGCAAGCCACTGAAAAGTACTGTAACAATAGCAAGTTGCTGATCCTGGACCTTTCTGGCTGTGTGGGCTTTAGCTCACTGAATATCCCAAGCAACATGGCCATGGTTACTGTAAATGTTGGGATCTGACATCCACCCATTTGAATGGCATACAGGTTGGAGAAGTCACTGTGCAGGACTGGGAATGTAGGAGTTCCTGAACTAAGGCATTCTATAGACCATAGCTAAATTGACATCTAACTGAACACAGGTAGCTCATTTGTTTGTTCCTTTGTTTCATGTATAATGACTTAAGCCCAATAATTTCCCCAAATAATTCATTTTAACTCACCAGGGCCTGTTCTATGAGAAGGCAGAAAAGAATGGCATTACCCACTTCCCTCAGACTTTGGAATACATCAGTCTTTAGTTCTGCATACTCAATTATGTCCTTTAGCTGGTGATGGAAAAACTCCAGGATTCCTGAGGAAAAGCAAGATATAAATAAAAGACCCNGAATGTCAAAGTTTCAGAAATTTGGATCTTCATGGCCAATAAAGTCATCTCACTGAAACAGATTCAGTCCAGTGCAAAAGTTCTGAAGTTTGACATAAAACCATTTTCAAGTTTCCTCCTGGGATATGTAAAAAAATTGTTTAAACTCTGGGGAAACACCAATGTTCAATGTATAGTGTACAGTCAGCTGGAAGAACAAACTCTAAACATGGCATACTGGTCCACGTGTTCCCTCTCAGACTTACCACATTCTTTATGATTTCATCCTTCCCATCCTGTCTCTGCACTTTTAACAGATGATAGCAGAAGTCAAAAAGATCAAAACGACGCTGTTGCCCCAGAAGAACTATGACTGAGCAACCAGCCCAGTTTAAGCCATCTCCAAAGCACTGTCTAGAATAAAAAGGAATAGGGAAGACATTATTTGGAAATGATGGAAAGATTTGGAATTCTTCTTCACTTGATTCTATGAAGAAATAATAAATGCTGAGAAGTTCATGCAACAAAAAGAAAGCCACGTGGCCTTTATTTAGGACTGGCCTCAAAGATAAGGATTCCAGTCACTAGCAAAGTATCCATGTAGATTTACATGTCATAAAATCTCAGCTCTCTGCAAAATGGATATAGCCTTCAACACTGGCCTACTCACTCAGCAGTGAATTCATTTGTTCCAACTGGAATGCAATACACAAATTGCATGGCGCTCCAGAGTCGGTGAAATTCAACACATTCATCAACATGCATGACACCGTTTGTTGGGGGAGGTCCACGCCAGATGGGATCTTGGAGGTAGCTACGAATGCGGGTCAGGATAACTTCAAACATGGACAGCCCACAGCACAATCTCTCCTTGGTCAGCAGGTCTCCTTCACGGGCTATGGCTATTTGCTGATGAGGAAGAAAAGCTCTATTATGAGATACCAATTTCTCCCAGAATTTCCAGATTGATCTCCCCACCCAGCTCTCCAGTAAAGTTTGGAACTTGTTAAAATGTTTAAGAAAGGGTTTAGACAGCTTAGATTTAATTAAAATCTGGTAAAGTTTGCCTGAGAACACTGAGCTGCTTTGTTGTTTAGTTTAAGGAGGTTGCTTTCTAATACACCTTTGTATATTTTATCTAAATATTTATTACTTTAGATAATAACAATAGAACTCTAATCGCAGATTT